TAGTTTCATCGGGTCCAATAAAGGCAATATAGTCCAAATGCTTCTTTTACAAAACATGATAAATGACTATTCACCAATATTCATATCTATACAAATAGTTATGTTTTAATAGACATATCTTTTCATGAAAAATCACAACATTTAAGTTATACTCTTTCATAAAAGAACACAACTATTTTGAACAAGTATACATATAATTTGGTAGTTTCATACCATATACTATACTAGTAAAAGAGAAACTCAACGACCACAATATCAAATATACTCCAAGAATTTTGTGGGTCTAACATAATACAAAAGTATCATCGAATTTCATATTTTGTGCTCCAAATTTAAATTTTGACACAAGTCTAATTTTATCTTTATCATAAGCAAAGAATCCCCACATTTTAAATATGATCTGAAAAATATTTTTCAAGTATTTGAAAATAGTTTTTCCACATATTTTTTCTCATGCTATCAAAATGTCATTGGCAACATGAAACCTCTTTTGAAAATGTTATTCTACAAAAGAATATAGTGCTTCAATTCCCTTTGATAATCTTTACACAATGTCAAAGTTCATTTCATAGAGGCACAAAATCACAAACTCTAAATCACTAGTATTTTTCCTGTATCACAAATAGACATACCACTTAGTATTTAGAATACTAACAATAAGACAATTTTTTTTGTACAATTTGTTTCTATATAACAATGAAGTTTATAGAAAACCAAAAGTACTACACTGACTTATTATGTGAAGTTTTCAAATTCTTCAAACCAATTGCATTGTCCAATTTATCCAGAGTAGAGAACTACAAAAATTTTTAGTCTACAACAATCAGACACAATCAAATTTCACAAGGAATACAAAACTACAAAAGTTTTTTTTCTCCAAACAGAATAAAACATATTCTTTGATTATCACATAGAAATGCTTTTCTTTTCATGTAGCCTTCCAACTATAACATTTTGCCATACTATTTTATCAAAAAAAAATGTGCATCTCTCATTCTGCAAACTAAAGAATTTTAAAGGCAACACTATTTGCCAAGGAAAATTAATTTCAAAACATATGGTTTGCAGATCTTTTTCCAAAGACACACATGATAAATGTCAAAAGAGTTATAGAAACTATTTTCCTCAGATAAATAATAAGAAGGTTACATGGTGTAATCTATAACCGGAATACCACCAATTTTTCTGGTCCATTCTCACTTCGACCTTGCTAAACAAAGCACTGAATTCTGAAGAAGTAGTGCATTAATCTTCTACTTCCATGATTTGTTTCTCTCAATCAGTAGAACAGAAGAAATACCAATAGTATAATAATTTCCTTAAGATTGTTGTTCATCTTGTATTCCTAAGATACTTAGAACAAAACTTTGAAGAACTTGGTAAGAAACAACAAAGTTTAAAGATTATTTTCAAACTAGAAATTAAAACTAGTAGAGAAAATAGAATAAAAAACAGATTAGAAACAATATAAAAAATAATTTTTCTCAAAGAAAGAAAATCGAGCCCACTGAATGCACAGTGTCCCCTTAAGAAAATTATTCCCCTCAAGTTCTCGAGATTAATGGAATATATCCTCCCAGGATAGAACGATCTTACTCACCGGTGTATCGGTACCTAAAACCATGGTGTCAGCGAACCACACAACGACAGTAAAGTACACTTAGAATATTAGATTTAGTAGTAGTAGAAGAAGTCTAGAAAAATTAGTTTCCTTAAAATGAGAGGAAATTCATCAATTTATAGAAAGCAATGGGTAGTGTGAAAAGATTCTTATTGTGCCTTACCAAAAAAGTCACAACCTTTGGAAAAGTCACAATCTTTCGGAAAGGTCACAACCTTTCATAAAAAGTTTCAACTTTTCATAAAAGTCAAAACTTTTCATAAAATTTGCAACTTTTCATAAAAGTCACAACTCTTCATAAAAGTTGCAACTCTTCATTTTCCGTTCACACCTTTTAAAACCCAACACTCTATTTATAGACAACAAACGGTAGTATGAACATGTGCGTATTGTGCCTCATTAGAAATGTCACAATTCTTTGGAAAAGTAACAAATATTTAGAAAAGTCACAACCCTTTGGAAATGTAACAACCTTTCAGAAAAGTCGCAACTCTTCCGAAAAGTCACAACCCTTCAAATAAGTCACAACTCTTTAGAAAAGACACAATCCTTTCATTTTCCATTCACACCTTTTAAAACTCAGAAGTAATCTCACAATGTTATACTTTTATACCTCTTAAAAAACTAAATTTAACTCTTCATTAATGGAAAAAAATGATAAGCCAGACTTTGATATCTTTAAATACTGAAAGAACTTATTATGATGGATTTCAAGATCTTCCCATTTTGCATGGTTTAACTCCTAAATTCTCAATCACATGTACATATATCATATTTAGAGAGTGTATAATTTAATTTACTCAATTATATCTTTTTTTATGTGTCAAGCATGTGGAATTTTCATCTGATATATCTGGTGGTGAAATTTGAACGAATGACCTTTGCCTGTGATCATATCATCTTAAAGCTTAATGCATTAGAGAGAGTATACAATTATTTACTTAATTATATTTTCAATAGTCGGTGATGGAAATCCAATCCACCGGACTAATTAAATCAAATAGAAAACTGAAGACAACTTGCCTTTATTAAAACCTATGATTGGAATTGTCGTGCCCCCTTTTTCTCAAAACGGGTTTTGGTGCACGAACTAACAACTCTTTTGGGCTTTGGAGGATTGAAGAGTTGCCACCTAACGAATTAAGACGCGTTAGGGCACCTATCTAACCTAACTAATTCTAGCTAAGGTCAACGATCCAGAGATCAGGGTAAGGGTTCAAGTTACCTTGAGGGGAAGGTGTTAGGCATCCCTCGAGGTCCACAAATGTGGGTCCCGACCGTGTCTCATGCAATTATGTGGGGGTTACAAGTAGCAAGTATGGTCAATTCATTTTATTATTTAATTAATTAACATGCTAGCTAAGTGATAAATGACATTCCACAATTAAGGTTACTTTAATTATTTTAATTAATTAAGCATGCAAAACTAGGTAATATAATAAATAACATGACAAATACTACGCCATTAATAAGAGATAAGCAAGGAGACAAAAATTACACAATTAATTATTCAAAAGCATTTTTTTAAATTTTATTTAAGCTACCCCAAACAATTATAATTATAAACAGATAAGGGAACAAAAGGAAAGGGAGACTCTAAAGGACTTTACGGATCAACACTCGACTTTTCTTTATTTTTTCGATAGGCTTCCGTGTAGGGACAGACAAAATCGAAGTTTGTCGCTTTAAGCCTGAGTCGATGTCATCATATCGGTAGGGCCTAAACTACCCTTACCCCACCTTTCGCATGCATAACGTCCTAAAAGGTGCCTATCGTCCCTGCTTAAGGTCCAAGAGGCATTGGACTACTACTAGAAAGGTGTTAGACTAAAATATAATACAAGTTCCTATATAGGCCACCTATACACCAAGCAAAACAAGTTGGACGATCATTTAGCACGTAAAGTCTCAAGTTGGCCTCTAGATTTTATTAGACATGCTGACAAACACAAGTAAAGTGAAAAGGTCGCATGCAAAGTGTGTGAGCATACAAACGGGCATTAACAAATAATTATTTAGTAAATGAGGAGCAGAAAGTTATTACAAGTGCAGAAAAAGCTTATTAGACTAATTTTTAAAGGTGGCAGAAAATTATACAGAATGCAAATTTTGGCGTTCAACTGATTTTAAGGGGGTAGATCTTTATTCATTTGATTTAAAAAATAGAACAGAAAAGTGATCACACATGCAGAAATATTTTACAACAATGGAAAAATTGATAATCAATGCAGAAATTTGTTAAGAGGTAGCCGGTTTATTAGATGCAATAATTCAGTAATTGATTTTAGGTTGCAGAGCAAATAATTATGATGCAGAATTGACTATGTTGAGCAAATTAGTATGCATAGAAAGCAGTATTGATTTTATCATTTAAATGTTAGAACTTAATGCATCACAAAAAAAACAGTAGCACACATAAAAATGTAGTCTAATTATTTTTCATGTTGGAGATTAATTAGTCTATTCTAAGCGGCCACACAAATAATTATATTGCAGAACAGCGGTGTAAACTTTATAACATCATGCTATTTAGTTACTTAATATGCTGGAATTATTAGAAGCCTACAGACATGCTATCTAAGTGATTATCATGCTGATTGGTTAATTACATGCATCAATAACAAACAGGACAGATTTTAAATAACATGCTGGCAATTAGTAATTGAAATTAGGTGGCAAGGTTGTTTATTAAATGCAAAAAATAGATAATTCAGGCAGATTTGGGCAAGAGCAGATTCTATATTAAGTTGTTCAGATTTAAATTAGAAACTACTAGGTTGGTTTTAGTTCTTAACTGGCAGAAAATAATTATGTCACAAAACAGTGGCATAAAATGTACAACAATTATAATTCTGATTAATTAATATTGGTTTTATTATTTGAATCCTATAGGCAGAGTTTCTAAGTGAACATGCTGAAATTATATTAGCAAATTATTTAGGATTAGATTAATTAAATGACAGGCTTAAGTTATTAAACATGCAACAATTATTTAGACACCAATTTTATTAGTTAAGCACTATGGACATGATTTCTAAGTAGAGAACAAGATCTACAACCTATTGGCATGATTTTCTAAACCCCAGATACTATGCAAAGTAAAAATAAACCTTATAATCATGATTTCTAAATAGACATGCTGAAAATTATAATAAGATTCAGAAAAAAAACTATAGGCATGGTGTCTAATAATTATTAGTCAATTTCCCATTAGCATGCAAGGCGAAATTCTAAAAGTCAAGATCATAACAAAATTATGACATATTATGCTAAGTCGTTTGATCGGATAAAGTTATAAACAAAGGTTGATTTAAAACCACTTATTTAAATGATTCTAACATGTTTGCACAATTCTACGATTCAATCGATAGACAGGTTATAACAATCACACATAAACAAAAATAAATAAATAAACAATTAGCACATATATCCCCCTGCCCTTAGGCGATCCCCGAATGTATATTATATATAGAGTTAGAGTTAGGAGTTTATACAAGTTATCGCAAAAACCGAATCAACAATCAAAAGACAAATATCAAAACAAAATAAGGTAAAGCTCCGATTCAATATCCCTTCCAAAGCGACTCTCCGGAACCTGAACTCATATTCAAGAGCCCTGCTACATAAAGGAGACAGCACACCACAAATATATAATATAACAGAGTAATATAGCATTAATTTTCCTATATTGGCAATATCAATTAATTCAAAAGAAGGCGGGCACACATGGAGAAGGATAGGGGGACTAACCCGAATGCTTCCTTTATTTGTTATAGCCATTGAATTTGTGCAAGATAAATAATACTAATGCAAGACATAGAAATTACAGGGATAAAAGGAACTAACCAATTAAGAAGGACAATTATTTAGCCAACAAACTTGAATCTAAATTGAGTTAGAGCAGCCCGCCAAAACACAAGAGCCTCTCCAATATATGAACAACTATTCTTTTTCCTTTTAAGAATATAAGAGAGTATTTTTATTCTTCTTAAAGTGATTAAGCGTGAGAGTGTATTCAACCGTCCTGAACTATGACAAATAGGCCTTGATTATATACTAGGTGAGAGGGCATAGCACTAAAGGAAAAGAAATAATTTTAGGAATCAATTATGATATTATTATTCTTTATTCAAAGGAAGAGCCAAATCACATTTATTTATTTTTTACCAATTATAAACAAGTAAGAAAATGTTCACCTTTTCAAATAAGGTAAAAAGATATTAATTAACAACACTAATCAATTAATCAATCAAAGAACTATATCAAAGAGATAAGCAAGGAATTTTTCCGAAATTTAGCAAGGAAAGAAAACTAATGAAGATACGGAGTATATAATAGTCGACTTAATTGATTATCAAGACAAGGAAAATACTAAACAAATTGGACACCACAGCAGGGAAAGAGATCATGATTGACATATTCCAAATTAACTTAGCACGAGAAAATCAGTCAATTACCATAAATACATAAGCAAGCCAGTAAAGTCATTCATCATAAAAGACTAATATTGGGATAAAATATATCAATAATTGAGATCAATTAAAGGGAGAGGACTTGTGATAATCAATCAGCCAGTGCATTACATGATTTTAAAGTTGTTTTGAGATATTTAGAAATAATTTGAGATAGAGGGTAGTCAAACCATAAGCAATACTGTTAGAGCCAAAATTTCATCTTAGAATTCAGTCACAAAAATCAGTTCAAAGTTTAAGACAATGCATCAAATATATTCCAATTTGGCGATTTAAATAATTAAGACTAATAATATGAACATGGACAACAAAATAACATATCTACAGTACACATTTTGTTTGTTTGCAATCTGCACAACAGTAAATGAAAGTGACGAAGGTGAGTAAAGCAAGTGTACAATCTGAGTTCTTGAGGGCATATGAGATCAAACATCAATGAGATAACGGGAAAGTAATGAACAATGAAGGGAAATCAAGGTCAAATCGAACATGCCAAGCTTAGGTTCTCAAAACAATCATCTCACAATAGCCAAAGATAAAAAAAAATGAAAAGCTTAGAAATTAGCTTAAAACTTACTTGGACAGATCTGTAAGGATCTGTCTTTAATGAACTCGACCTCCGATGCTACTGCGGGGCTGGAGTTGTTGCTGATATCGTAGTCGGAGGAGTAGAGAGAAAGAGGCGACGGGGAGGAGAAGAGGAAGGCGGAGGTGTTGCCACCTCTAGTCCCTGCCGGCTGCTGGTTCTGTGGAGTCGATGGCTTCGCCTGGCTGCTTGGAGCAGTCGCTACTGCTGTCATGCACCTCACCAGGCGCTGCTGTCGCTGGTCAGAGCACTGCTCCGGTTGCTGCTGCCCGGAGAAAAAAGAGACGGGGCGAGGGAGAAGAGGAGAGAGAGAAAGAGAAGGCGGAGAGGAGAGGAGATCGGCCTCCCTCTCCTCTGGTTCTCGTCGGAGACTTGCCATCGCCGGTGGAGTTGAGAGGGAGAGGCGGCTGATCTGTTGAGAGAGGAAAAAACAAAAAAAAAATTCTTTAGAGGTTTAGGTCTTGTTGGTTAGAATAGGAAATAATAGGGGAGTTGATTTTAACCGTTGGATTAGAATTAGATCAGCGGCTAAGATTTGATCTAGAATTTAATTTAAAGATGGACGGACGAGATTAAAATGGGGTCTTGAGAGTTGAATTGGAATGGCCAAAATTGAAATAAAAATTGGCTAGAATTGAAATGAAGGTTTGACTATAATTGAAATAAAATTAGAATTGAGGTGGCTAGAATTGAAAGAAATTAGAATAGAATAGGCTAACATTTAAACAATTAAAGGAATGCTATTCAATTAAAATACTACGAATATATTATATTAAAATTACATAAATTTTTTAAAACATTTGAATTATTTCAAGTTTTACTAATAATTTTAAAAAATATTTTAATAGTATTTACAATAATTTTTATAAAGCATGCATACTAAAATATATAATTTTTAAACAAAATCGACTAAATTTTAAACTCGAAATATATTTTAAAATACATTTTTAATTGAATAGCATTCCTAAAAAGGGTTAAAGTTCGGTCAAAATTGGGTGTCAACAGGAATATTACTGATTAAATTTGCAAACAAGCATTGTAAGATCCATAATTTTAATTCGATGAGTTTGGTCTTTAAATTTCTTAGTGCCGAACTCGTTACACTTCAAAATTATGTGTCCAAATTAAATTTTTGTTGACATTTTGATGGACTCGTACACAACACACATACATATATGTAGTCTGGATGAACACATTGTTGATGGCTTCATCCACCACTAAATTCAAGTACATTGGCGCAAGAGGTAGAGGATGGCCTTTCTAGATTTGAGGTTTAAGAGTATGTCAAAGAGTGGGAGGTGATTGAACTTCAGAGATTGTCTGCTTAACTTCACAAGCAGTTTGAGCCAATCGAATAATCCAATGCTTCAAGTTGGGAGTTGTGAACAAAAAAGTGTTCTCTGCCAAGTCCTTTTACGAGAAGCTTCTTTCCAGGGAGGAGGATAGCTTGTCATATGATTTCATATGGATTACTAACAAAAAAAGTGTGCTTCTTCACGTTGTTAGCTGATAAAAGAGTGATTTTGCTGACAAAAAAATTTGATGAAGCGAAAGGTTCTTGACATAAGTTGTTGTATCTTTTGCCATGACGTAGGTGTGGATGTAGATCATATTTTAGTAAATTGCAATTTAGACACGAGTTTATGGTGAGATATCTTTAGTTGGTTTGGAGTTTCTTGTGCATTTCAAAGATCTATAAAGAAGTTGTTATATTCAGTTGGAAGAGTGGAGCTAGGAGAAGAAGGCACAAGACTAGCTAGAAATGTTTACTCTCTTTCTGTTGATGTGCGTCATTTGGAAAGTGAGAAATGGGAGAGCTTTGAAGGGGTAGAGACGAGCTTTGGTCAATTAGGGAGTAGGGTTCAATCCTTTATTTTCTTTTGGTGCACCACTATAGTTCCTATTTGTATAGAGGATTAGGTAGCTTTTAGAGAGAACCGTCGTTTGTAGGTTACTTTTATATGACCAAGATTATTATCAATGAAAGATTTTACTTGATCCAAAATGAGGCAGGGCAGGGTTGGTTAAGACTATAATTGAAGAAAGTGTTACCCGCTCCACCTACACCATCCCATTGTCATATCTAAGTTCACAACAAAAATGGTCAATTAAAGAATCTAAGGACACAACAGAAGCCATCCATGAAAAATCAGTGGAATTATGTAACATAAGAGAAAGAAGAACATTTCTTAAAAGCAAATTCACTTGGCAAGATGCCTAGATCTAGTTTTTATCATATTATACTGAGACCTCATTTATTTTCACTTAATGAAGTTATTTATCTTAATCATTGATCTTAGTCATTAAGTCTATTTGTTTTAAATGACTAAATATTAATCATTCAGATCTTATTCATTAAGTGTACTTATCTTACAACCACTTTATAAGTCTAAATATCATTAAGATGTCTATTTAAGAATTTGTATAAAAATGTGAGTTCATGGCTGTTCCATCTACTCTCACTCATCATCCACAACTGCCACCACCATCAATCACCACCACCTACCATCCATAACCACCATCCTTAACCCAACCACAACCATCTCGAATTCTGAGAAGATCTAACACAAAACAAGTTTACCACCTTCCAAATATCAACATGTGTGTTTTCAAAACTGATCCTTTCTATCTTTATATGAAACACAAGCTGTCTGTCCAATCTTTCTTTAAAATATTTTTCACTCACCAACCGAACACCAAAAAAATCAATTTCCAAGAAAAAAATATCAAAAGTAAAGTAAAATACACTGTAAGGGTATAATAAAGCAATAAAAGTTAAATTGTTTCCAAAGCTAGAAAGATGTCACATTCTTCTTGAATAAGAGTAAATTAAAAAGAAACAATGTCACGTAAATTGGAATAAAATGAGTAGTAACTAATCAATTCAACAAACCAATTAAAGTACACACTATTTAAAGCAAAAAATAGAAAAAAGGAAAACCATTGCATTGTATTTGAGTTTCAAAATCATCCAGCAAACTTCCAAAAAACATGTATATTTACAAATATTGCAGCAAACACAAGTTTTCTGACCGATCATCAACTTGAGATAACTAATCACGAGATAACTTATGCTAAGGGCTCGAGAAATAAGTTATCTCGTGATCATCAACTAACTACCAACTCTTTCAATAGGTTCCAAGACAATTCCTTATGCTTTCAATAATTTTAAGAAACACTTTTCTTTGGTCTCATACTGATAAAGAATGGTGAAATCCCATCTAACTTGGTTGGCTATTCCCGCTGAGTCAATATTCCTAGTTGGAGGATATAATGGTGTATAATGGTTAGCTACCTTGGAGTCATACTTACCTTCAAATGATGTGTTAAAGTCTTTTAAGCTAATGCATTCGGTCCAATCATATGTCGGAGTTGCGAACTGTGTGGAGACCTTTTTGTATTTGGTGGTGGTGATGGTGGTGTTGTTGGAGCCGGAAGCTTGTGGTAAAACACATGTACACCCCTAACACTCATTGCTCCTTTGTGCCACTCTTTCTAGTGTCTTAAGTTGCTCATGTTGATGTTATGTTTCTTTTGTGAAGTTGTATCATATAGAACAGTTGATAACAAGTGGATTCTACGTTTCCCTTTGAATATGAAAAGGGGTGCTTTAGTTGGTGCCACTTGGAAGGACAATTTTTTTGCAATTGGCGGTGGAAATGTGATTGACTATTTTTCAGAAGTTGAGATGATAATCAATCACCTATCTCTTTTTTGATTGACATCTCAACCTCTAAAAAGCAATCAATCACATTTCCACTGCCAATTGCAAAAGATTTGTCCTTCCAAGTGGCACTAGCTAAAGCACCCTTTTTCGTATTCAAAGGGGAACGTAGAATCCACTTGTTATCAGTTGGTCTATATGATACAACTTCACAAAATCAACATAACATCAACATGAGAAACTTAAGATACTAGAAAGAGTGGAACAAAGGAGCAATGAGTGTTAGGGGTGTACCTGTATTGTACCACAAGCTTTCGGCTCCAAGAGCACCACTATCACCACCATCACCACCACTAAATACAAAAGTTCTTCACACAATTTTGCAACTTCGGCATATGATCGGACAGAATGCATTGCCTTAAAAGACTTAACACATCATTTAAAGGTGAGTATGACTTTAACGTAGATAACCATGATACACCATTATATCCTCCGACTGGAAGATTGACTCGGCGGGAATAGCCAGCCAAGTTAGATGAGCTTTCACCATTCTATATCAATATAAGATCAAAGAAGAGTTTTAGCAATTCTTGTGGCACTACAATCACCATTCTTTACCGGTATGGAGTTTTTGCAAATGACATAATCAACTAACTTCCGTGCATCCATTAGACTATTATCTTCTGAAAATAGCTACTGATGACATATCGGTATGCCCTCCTTATCATGAAGAAAAGCTTTGACATCTCCAACACTATCTGACTCATTAATGTTTAACTTGACTATTTTAGTAATTCTAATGCATATACTTATCTGCAAGAGGATACCAAAACAATAAAAACAATATATGGTCATAATGGTGCAATCTTTTTACGAAAGTTAAACGACCTTAGCAATTATATACACCATCCAATAGAAACACTCAAAACCACAAATCATAGAGTGGAGATTTTTAGTGCATCTTTTGGATAGAAGGTAGTGAAATAAGACAAAACTTCAAAAAAATCTCAACTATAAACTAAAATGGGAATCTTCAACCTCAAACAATCTAACCTGTTCAAATCCAATTATTATATTTAGCTAAATCCACCAGCTAAATATGTCAACAAACAAAAATATTAAAGAATAACCAATTAAGTATATATGATTTAATGAAGAAGACTCTTTAACACAACCTTAACTTGTTAAGTCAACAAATTTACATAATAGATACATTATCTTCTTGAACCTGTTTGGTGTTTATGATTCAAATTAAGTTCCAAAATACGCGTTAGGTATGCATTTCTTACCAATCCAACAAGTGGTACTTACGTTGTTTTCCACTCCTATTTCACATATTTTCTCTTCAAATTTCTAGCATTTCGTGTTCCCAGTCTAGTTTTTCCTCTAGCGACATTTTCAAGTTGCATCGCTCCACATTTTCAGTACTAATATGTATGGATTCTCTGTAACTCTTAGCGCAAAGTTTCATGCAATATAGCACTCATTGGGATGTTATTCCAGGATTGACATTAATTCACATAAAGTTCATCTAAAAGGAGAAAATCATAACTTGATCAAACCAAATTAAACACATATTTATAAGTATTGACATGAGATATATTTCATCCCCTTATACTCTAGGAACTCTTTCGATCCATGCTTCCATATGAGGGTTTTGAATTAGATGACAAAGTTTAGATGTGCAAATAGAGCATGTCCAAAATTGATTGATAGTGTCGGTCAATCAAGGGAAAATAAAGATAACCAAAACTAAGATTCTTGAATGTAAAAACATAAACCA